GGACCTCGTGTTAAACGATCTAACGAACCATGGCACAACCTTTAAAGAAAGTCAAACCAAATCTGATTGTATAAAACGATATCTTTAGTGTAATGTAATAATCATTGTTAAACACAAGAAATGCGACCAGTAAAAGAAAAGTATGAATAAAGCGAACACAGTCATCTGAACTCTCTGAGTTGCTGTTGCTTGTTGTTCTTGTTTGGTTTAGTTTGAATCTGGGTAGAAACTAGTGGCAAACTAGTGTGAGCTGCGTCGGAGTTTCTAAAGAAACAGTTGTGAAAAGATAAATTTTTTAATTTAACTTTTCTACGGTGTTAAAACACTGTAAAAAAGTAGGTGAAAACACCTTACTGACGTTTCGTACTTTAATCCTTCGTCGGAGTAAAGAGATGGAACGGAGTTTATATAATGAGAGAAGCAAAGAAGCAAAGACGCATGGGTGGCCGAGCGGTGAGAGCGCTGGCCTGTCACCTCTGTGGACCCTATTCGAATCTCGGTCGGGGCGCCATATGTGATTTGAGTTTCTTTCGTTCTCTCCCTTGCGTCGAGGGTTTTTCCGGGTCTTTCGGGTTTTCCTCCCTCAGTAAAAACGAACCATTTTCTATCTGCTGTGCTCCGCGTTCAGTCGTTCGTTGCTATGTAAAGGAAGCGCCTAGCCGGCAGTACGTCTATGTGTAAGTGTCTGTAAAATGTGTCTGTAATATAGCACTTCGACTTGAGAGCGCGTCGAGCTGCGTCTTTCGCAATTCAGCACCCATGCTGCCATGAAGGACGATTAGCACCCAACACACAGTAGACCATGCAATTGGAGCAAGGTAGGCATGGTAACGAGAAATTAAGTGACCAATAAGTCGCATTAAATTAATAAAGTTAAAAGAGAATGGTTAGGTAAATTAAAGTGGAGGGAAACAGGTTTATTAAAATCGTTATTAAGAATATGTTTACGGATACGATCGCCAAGACGACGGCCAGTCTCGCCGACATACAACAAATTACAAAGTGAACATTTAATGCAATAGACAACATTTATACGAGCCTTCAATAGGTTCATCAGTAGACGAGGAATACCAGAGTGCATTATATCTGACAACGCTAAAACATTTATAGCAGGCGCGCAAGAACGTACAACCCTAACAACAAACATACTGAAAGCAGCGGAATCACAGCGATTCCTTGCCAATAACGGCATTAAATGGAAGTTCATAACTCAGCGAGCACCATGGTGGGGTGGCTTCTATGAAAGGCTTGTTGGTCTTACAAAGAGACGACTAAAGAAAAGCATAGGGAACGCCTCACTGACCTACATCGAACTGCTAACCTTACTGACCGAAATCGAAGCTGTACTAAACAGTCGCCCACTAACATACCCATATACCGATATTAACGACGGGCCCCCACTTACTCCAGCTAATTTTCTCTGCGGTCACAGACTTACGAACCTACCAGAAGCATTTGACGACGAAGAAGACCCTAAATACTTACCTAACCAATCATGCGCAAAAGATCTATCCAAAAGAGACAAACACCGACAGAAAATGATGCACAACTTCTGGAAGCAATGGCAACGGGAATATCTAACCAGTCTGAGGGAACAGCATGCAGGTAATGCGAAGGCACCCCTTACAGGAGAAACTGTAGCCAAAGGGAAAGTGGTTCTAATACATGACAGTAAACCGCGTAGCCAGTGGAAACTAGGGGTGATCGTCGAGGTACACCCCGGCAAATACGGCATCGTACGCGCAGTGACCTTGAAAACCGCCAACGGAAACCTGCTTTCGAGACCTATCGAAAAGCTCTATCCAATTGAAGTATCTTCGGACAATATAGAGCCCAATACACCACCCTCAGGAATTGACACAGGAAAGGACACAGAGAAGGAAGAGACACGACCAACTCGAGCCGCGGCAAGAAAGGCGGCGGAGAGAATAAAAGCGCTGTCAGGACTCGATGAGGACTTTTAATGCCTTTTTAAAAATATAATGAACTGATCTCTCTATCACGATATGATTGTCAAATCTGTACCTAAGTCTGTATAATGAGCACGTCATCGCCGGCCCGGGAGGGTGTCATAGACTCATGACGTCACTAATTGTAATTAGAGTTAATTAGTGTAGCGGCAGCTCCCAATAAACTAACATCTTCAGTCTATCGTCTCCCAAACGCGGATCATAATTTTTATTGGGGGGAAGGGGTAAATCGGAACTGGACAACTTTCGAGAAGCACCATATGACGTAGACGAAGGTTTTCAATATGGCGGACAGATTATTGGTTTCTCCGAATGAAAATACCCCTAAAAGATACCAGGCTCTCACGAAAAAGGGCGTGGCAATACAATATTTTCACCCCTTAAAGATACCAACTAAAAATCTTTGTTCTCATAATTTTAATTCTTATGATTACGCGATTAAACGAATCAATAAAAATGAGTGAGCTGACTGACGTTTTTGTTTTGTTTTCGTATACGTTGATTATCTTAAAAGTACACCCTACCAGATTATCTGGTGGTGATCCAAGAACCTTTTGGCCCCTGGGAATCGCCGCCTGGTGTGTATTTATAGGCGTCATGCTTCCACTTCCTTGCAGCGTATACAACTAATTCAAAAAACGTTGAATACTGAAGAAAGTTTAT